AACAGGTGTTTTCTATCCTTAAACTCCGGGCGAATCACATTGAGGGCAATGTGAATTTTAAGTTTGGGGGTGGTTAACTACTTGTTTTCGTTTATGTGCGCTTTATTTGTGTTTTAGTTAATTTTTATTTTTAGTTTGCATGCTTTATTTGCGTCTTATTATTTCCGTTTTATTATTTGCTTTGAAAAAAAAAAAAAATTCGATGCATCGATGAACTATGATGATGGGAGATGGTCAATGTTTGATGATGTGATTACTTGTTTTATGTTGATAAGGAGTATGTATTCGTTTAGCTTTCGATTCAACGGAACGTAGAAGTGAATTATTGCTAGGAATCACACCTTGTGCATTGCTTTGGTTGAATGTTTTGCATTTTAAATTTGGAATTTATTTGTGCTCAATCATGCTTTGTTCGGTTTTAAATCTCACCTTAGGACATTTATGATACGAAGTGTTGGTAGTAAGTAATTTGGGATATGATTTGGGCCTTCTTTTTGAACCGTTTGAGCCTTTCAAGCCTACCCTTTTTGTCAATTTATCCTTAGAACCTTGATTTGAGCCTCGGAGAAAAGGTGTTCTTTCTTTTAGCCAATATGTAGAAGGTAGAAAAGTGGAGATTTTTTAATAATTATCCCCTTGAGGTTGGTCGAAAAATTCTTATAAGATCTTTCTTCTTCTTCTTCGTCCGAAAAAAAAAATAAAAAATTAAAAAATTAAAAAAAAAAATAAAAAAAAAAATAGATATATATGTGCATCTTCATATATATATATATATATATATATATATATATATATATATATATATATATATATATATATATATATATATATATCTAAATTCTTCGATTCAAAAAAAAAAAAAAAAAAAAAAAAGAGAAAAAGAAGAAGAAGAATAGATTCGAAGGGAGAAATAAGGACTAGTTGTTGAATTGTGTTGAAAACTCGATCCATTGCCTCAAAGGCAAAAGCGTTGACGTGTGAATTTTGGAGAATCAAATTTATTAAAGTCCCTAGAGGTGAATTCATTGTGTCCAACGCCTATCTTTCAATTTTTGGCGTAATCACCTCAATTCAAGAAAATTAGCCACACATTCCCATATTACCTACCTCGAACCAAAGTGCCTAACAATTGAAAGCCACAAAGTCCCAATGATCCCAATAGCTTATTGTTCAATATTAGTTGAGTAAATTAATTTGGTGAGTATTTAAATATATTTGTTTTTCTTGCAGGTTTGTCAACACAAATAATAATTTATTAAGATGTCGACACAATCAACAATTGTAACTTATGTTGAGTGTTAAGTGTATATTTATACACTTAATTGTACCTTTTAATTGGAGCTTTTGATGTGTTTTTACGATAATTGGTGCTTAATATGGTTATTATTTGTATTTTAGGTGCAAATTGAAGAATTGACAACTTTTGGGGTGAAAACTGCAAGTTCGGAGAAGAAGTGGGCCAAAAGTAAAAAAATCAGAATTCTGGAGAATCAAGGACCGGACGGCCGTCCGGATTTTAAAGCCTATTCTCGCACGGCCGTCTGGATGGACGTAGGGGCGCAGTGAAGGAAGTTTAATTACACAAGGAAACCCGCCCTATTATATTTTTGCACCCTATTTAAAGGCCACAAGCACACAATTAGGATTATCTTTTACTTTTTATCTTTAATCTTTAGGTTTTTATTTTTCATCTTTCTACACGCAATCAAGGAGCACAAGAACGAAGACGAAGACTTGACGACTCTTCATCAAAGTTCTCCTCTTTTATTAGCTTTTATGATTTTTCGTATTTTTATTATGTTTTTCGTAACGAACATGAGTAGCTAAGTTTTTATTCTAGGATTTTATTGGAACCCTATGTGGTAATTCGAACCTCTTTTTCGACTTTTATGCAAGTTTAATTCTTCGATTATTTCTTCTATCTTGATCTTATTTAGCGCATGAACGTAGCTAATTTATGTTGCTATGTGTTATTGTTAGAATTGATTGACAGATCGTTTTAATAATTAGAACAGGGATAGAAGAGCCTTCGAGTAGTTTTTCACCGAATGTGTGTGTTGATTGCATGTATTATCGTAGACATACAGATAATACCTTAGGTAGCCGTTTACGAGACTTGTTATTGAATGCTTTATTTATACTAGGTTTGCATAGACATATAGTGAATCTTTTATGAATAATAGGCTTATAACGCAGCGACAGCTGGTTATGAGTAATTTCGTGTCTTGGGTTAATAATCGGGAATCGTAACTTGCATGATAGGAGATTAATTGGGTGAAGAATTATCGCATAGGGGAAAGATAAAATCCTAGATCCGTTTTATATTGATATTTTTCTCGTGTTTAATTGCTTTCTTAATTAGTTTAATTTATTTAGTTAATTAATTTGACAACCCTGCGTAGGCTGGATAAAAATCACAATTGTTAGGATTTGGTACTTAGGATTAAATAATTTGCGTATTCCCTGTGGGATCGACATCCGACTCTCACGAGTCTACTTTACTACTTGTTTGCGATACGTACACTTTCGTGTTGGTATTTAGCACCCAACATTGAGAAACAAATGACAAGTGAATTTTCAGGCCCTCAATTCAAGTGCTCACCGACCATTTTTGCTTTCAACTTCACATTTCAGACCCTTTTCCGTCCACTCCTATAAGCCATTATTATGTCTGCCAGTTTTTTACATTATATTAAGCGCATTTCTCATGTTGATTATTGTGTTTCGATTCATTTTTCTGTTGGATATTTGCTTGTTAATTTCAGGTCACCCACGGATCATAAATGGTTGTACTGGTTTGGAGCAAAGAGTTGGAAAAAATGAAAATATTAATGAGCAAGACTGGAATAACAGTAGCAACTTTTTCTGGAAGGCGCGGAAGCATCGGTACCTAGGTTAACAATCTGTTTATGAATAGTGGGAAAAAAAGGAACAAGAATCAATGTTTGAAACTCGGACCGGACTGGCCGGTTCGACCGCAAACCGGTGCCTTGTCCAGTCCGGTTAGCCCCATAAAACCAAAAATTACAAAAAACCGGTCAAAATGTCAAAACCAGGTCTTTTGACCGGAAACCCGGAAACCGGCTAAAAACTGGTTTTTTGGCTGCATAGACGCGTTTTTAATTAATTCAAAAAAAAAAGGAAGTCAAAACGGCATCATTTTAATGCCCAGAAAAAAGAAAAAAAAAATAGAAGACAACAACAGAAGTCTTTTTCTGTAAAAAAAGTACAACATACACCTTTTTTCTAAAAAGAGAAAAAGAGAAATTGGAATTGGAGATGAGTATGAGGAAGAGTGATATATGAAGATGATAGTGTCTTTTATGCATTTACTATTTACTTTAAATATTTAATTTTGATGTGAGACTTATTTTAAATGTTTGCATTGGATGCAAGACCTTTTTTATTTTTATTTTTTTATTTTTTTAGTAAGATGTATGACTTCAAATTAAATGTTAACTTTTGAGTTTTGATTTATAAGATGACTATAATTTTATGCTTAACTCATATGAATATTTGATATCTTATATAATAAAGAAAGAAATCCTAAAAAACTCTAATGGTATCTTATCTAATATATAAAAGAAAGAAACGTTGGGCAACCCAAAAAAACCTCAATGGTATTTCTGTAATTATTTATTTTTAATATTTTTTCTCTACTAATTTCTAATTAATTTTTTAACAATTATCAAAATTAAAACTAGCCCGTGAAGAATCCTACCTTATTGCTACTTATGTAATTATTTATTTTTAATATTTTTTCTATACTAATTTTTTGAACTATAATTTTCAAAAATTATTAAGAGATAAAACTAGAAATTCGATTTGTTAAATTTTAGTCTATTTATTTGGATTATAAATCTTAATATGTAAGATTTAAAAAAACTAATGTTATATAAAATATGAATAATACTATATTATTAAATTTTAGTATATTAGTGTACTATAATTTCTTATTATGCATTAAATTGATTTTTTTTCACTATTTAAATAATACCCCGTGCATCGCACGAGAAAAAATGCTAGTTGGTGATAAACAGGTTATTTTTACGTATTTTTTTTGCATAAATAATACTATATAAATTAAATATAAATAATTAAAAATAAATTATTCAAAACCCCGGTTGGACCCCGGTTGAACAGGTCCAAGCGTGACCCCGATATCTTGGCCAGGTCAATGTCCGGTTCGGTTTTCAGAACATTGACAAGAATGATAGAATATGTAATTCCTAGCATTTAATAACTAATATGAATGTGATTAATCAACAAAATTTATACAGAACTCTCCTTATTATGAAAAAAGTTTGAATGTTTTAACTAATTGCTGAATATTAGAAAAAATACATTCAATTTTGTATAGTAAGATGTTTGGAGTTTTTCCTGACGATTGTGAGATGAAATAGGTATAGGTTACTCAATCACATTTGGTGGCCAATGTGTTCGGCAATATCGATGTTACACCTAGTTAATATAACCAGGCACCCTAGTTAATAAGATTACCACTACGAATACAGTTATATCCCATGGAGTTTTAGAAATATAATTATAAAATAAATTAAAAAGGATATATGTCAAGAAGAGAGCTATTCGGTGAAAATCACTGGGTGTAGCATCGTATCCCCAATGTGTTCTATGTTGTACAGATTTTTTCAGATCATGTTATATATATATATATATATATATATATATATATATATATTTATTTGACGATTAAAAATATGTACTCACCGTGCATCCCAAGGGTGTAGTACTAGTTAGTTTTAAAATGTTATCATTTGCATTGCATTGCACCGGGAAATATTAGTATATAGAATATGACAGGAAATCCAATTTTATCTAAATAAACTAATTACATGGGGAAAACCGTTACAAACAAAGCCGATTTGTTTTCTTCAAAGAAATCCAATCACAGGGATCTTTTGCAATTCCGTTCCAATGCACTCACCTTTTAAATCAATACTCAACCTGTGATTTATTCCGTTTCGTACAACAACAGCATTATGTTTCTTGATAATGGAGTTGAGTTCTCTCTAAAGGTTTTGATAAACAAAGAGAAGAACAAAGTACTATTTGCAGAAGTCGACAGCGATTTCGCAGAAGTTCTGCTGAGTTTCTTAACTTTGCCATTGGGAACGATTGCGAGAGTTTTGAAGAAGCACTACGGAGATAATAAAGACGCGACGACGCCTGTCAACATTGGAAGCTTAACCACTTTGTACGATGGATTATCGAATCTTGACAGCATCAATTTACGGAGTCAATTCCATAAGCACATGCTTCTCAATCCCGTAAGTTCCTTTGAAGGTGAATGCCGAAAGCTGAAACTCGATATCAGTGATCCTTTGACCTTTAAGTACTTTTCTTGCCCGGACTGGAATTGTACGCACCGATGGTCAAAGGTAGCAATGCGAAGAGATGCTACCGTAACTTGCCTTTGTGGGAAAACGAAGAACAAAAGCGTTTGTTTAGATGAGTCTGAAACTGCTGTTCATGGATCCGCTGGAGTGTTCATGATTAAGACAACTTCTTTCTTGATCTCCGATGATCTGAGAATGGTGCCTAATGTGGCCGTAGGCTTTGTGCAAACTCTCCGAAATCTTGGCATCACCGACACTAAAGGCGCCGAGCTAAGGAATGTGACTTTTGGGTTCAATGAGGTAATTAATATAATTTGTTTCTTGATTATGTTATTTTACTTTTGTAATTTTTATTGAATGTGTATACTGTTAATAATTAGGAATTTTTTTTTTTTTGTAATTTTGGTTCTCTATGTTGTCTATTTAGGGATTTAGTCGTCTAAGTTATTATATTTCAATTTCACATGCAATAAAATTGCAATTTAGCATTTTTTGGTTTTATGTTGCTTGATTTTTGCATTTCATGATGTGGCACTTGATGGATTTTGCTTATGGACTTTTAAAAGTTATAAATTCTTCAACAAATTTAATGAGTTTGTTAAAACTAAAATTTCTGGCAAAATAGGACCAAAATTGCTAAATTTGCAAAGTTATTGCATGTAAACTTGAAATAGCATAACCAAAAGGACTAAATCACTGAATTGGCCAATATAGATGATCTAAATTACAATTTTCTCCCATATAACTATGTCGGTTTTGTGAATTTTAATAATCATTGTCTGCCTTAGGTTATGGATTTGCTCAAGGCCTCGTTAATGTCGCGTACTCCGCTAACCGACCTTATACTCAATAAAACAAAGGTTTATGATGACTTTGCCAGTCTAAAATACGAAGCGGGAATTTCCTTCCAAAAGAAGGAGAAATTAGAAGCGACCAAGAAGATGAATTTAAGGTTGGTGGTAAAAAAATCGAGCAATAAGTTATTGTTTGCTCAAGGCGATGATGATTTCGTAGATTTCCTTTTTTCTTTTCTTACCATCCCACTAGGAGGAGTTGAGTGCCTTATGGGTGGTAACACTTGTCTTAATAGTATAGACAATTTGTATAAAAGCATAGCGGATTTTATCGATGACAAGTATTGGGTGAGTCCACGCTTAAAAAATAGGGTGATGAAACCCAATCTTCCTAAAGGTTATGTTTCCGGAGGTACGATTCTTCCTCTTAGTGAACAAGCTACTCTATATTACCATCGGGATATGAACCAGAGAAAAGAATGGTTGTCATATTCAATTGGAAAAGATTCCGGATGGTTTCGTGAAATGGTGTTCAGTCGAGGCCAAGAGAATTTCGTTAAAGGAACAAAAATGTACATGGTGACCGATGATTTAACCGTGACTCCTATGTGTATGACCTCCACCCTTTCTATACTGAAGAAAATTAAATGGAAATCCCTTTATCTGATGTCAAAGAAGTGGAGGTGCACGTTGGATTGCAAGAGGTAATTAATATAATTTGATTTTATAATATCTCGTGTTTAATTTATTTATATTTTCCCATGCATGCATGTACGCGAGAATCGTTTTGGGTGCAGGCTTTAAGCATACTGAAGGCATCTCTTACATCGACGTCTGCTTTAACCGATGGGTTGAAGATCAATAGCATGGTAAAGAAAAAGCCTAACCACGCAAGTGCATTTATAAGGCGGTTCGCACAATTGTTTAATTAGTCATTTTAACGTGCACGGATTGTTTTGTTTCCCAGTAATGGTATTAGGCCTTAATCCTTATTCACGTTTCAGTTTCCCAGTAATGGTATTAGGCCTTAATCCTTATTCACGTTTCAGCAGTATGCAAGTTGTAATTTACTTCATTGTTCAGGTAACTGATAATTTAGTTAATATTTACTGAAATTGTGTTTTCTGACCCGAATTGTTTTATGGTCATAATAATAAGGATAGATTAAAAGATTGAGCTTTGGTCCCTTTAATGTTTTATATTATAATTGCCTCATAGATTTGTATTTTGTTATGCAATTGTCTATGTATGTTAGTATTAGTATTATTATCAACCATCAATTTACAGTTGACCATTAAATTATGTAATTAATTAGGAAAACAATAAAAATATTTTAAAATTTGCTATTCAAACATACTTATAATTTTTCAGAAATTACAAAGATAGTAGAATTTTTCTCCCTCGTACTTGCTTTACTTTTGCCAAATGCGAAATATGGAAATTGCAAATTTTAAATTTTGTTCTCCAGAATATAGTATTCAATATTGATTCAAGACAGTGAGGGGGAACCCCTCAAACCCCATTTATCAATATTAGCCCAAATTTTTTTTTTCATTTTGACATACTTATCATGTGATGTTATGAATTGTGACATACCTCCATTAATTTATTATAATTCAATTTTATCCTTTTTAATTTGTTTAACCCTAGAAACACTATGTTTACTTCTCAACGGCTTTTTCACTTTCTCTCCTTCGCCAATGCTTCTCTTTCCCCTTTATTTCTTTTATCTTCCACCACCGCCACCACTCTCTTTGTGGACTGATATCTTCCACCGCAAATATCACTCATGCCTCTCCAATTCGCCGTCGCGAGCAGTGGCGAATCCAGGAATTTAGCCAAGGGGGTGCGAAAGTTTACGGGGTTCGGGGGCAGCGCCCCCGATTTTTTTTAATAATAATAATACCAGCATAAAATAATATTAATATGTAGGAAAATCGAAATTTTAAGACCAATTGCAATTTTTTGTAGAATTTTGGAAAAATGAGAGAAAATGTTAGAGTATAAATGGATTTGTAGAGAGAAAATGTGAGTAAATTTTGGAAAAATGAGAGAAAATGTTAAGTATAAATGGATCTGTAGAGAGAAAATGTGAGTATAAATGGATTTGTAGAGTTTTGGAAAAGCTATAAAAAATTTGATGATTTTGGGACTCGAACCTATGACATTTCACAAAAGATTAAAGCTACTTACCAGGTGAACTACCAATTACGTTTGTTAAATAATCACATATAATATAATATAACAATATATATATAGGGAATATTTTTTTTTTAATTTCAAGGGTGTGCAGCTGCACACCCTAGACATATAGTAGATCCGCCGCTGGTCGCGAGTTCTTACCCACACAGAGTTGGAGGATTCGTTGAGGAACATGGAGAGACAGAGGTTGTCTTCCGCCAAAATTTGTAATTTCCGACGACACCAGCCGCTGCTTTTTCGACACCCAGACGAACTACTCCTCATCTTCAACCAACAATAACAAGATCCAAAGCAATCTTTCCCTATTAATCCTCCCCTAAGTCCATTCTCTCCATAGCTAGCATTCTCCCTCGGTCAAAACGCCCCCGCAAATTTCGTCGCCGCAGCCAATCCGCTCTCCAACCTCAACAGTAGCTGCCGCACCCACGTCAATTTCATCGCCCTCCATAACAACCAGAGAGCGGCCGCACGGCGAGGAGATTTCAGAGGCGGAGTTCGAGGCATGGCACTAGTAATTGGAGCAGGAGGAGGTTGTCGAATTGGGGAGTGACGGTGGAGGAGCATCTGCGGCGGCTCATCATTGTACTTGAAACGCCGTGGGATTTTGGTTATTTTACAGATATTTCATTTAGTTGTTTCCGACAGTGGAAAATGGGCGGTCTTCCGACGCCTTGCAAATTAGAGTTGTTTTTTTTTTTTTTTTGTTGGTTTCGGTGATTCATAGTTGATTTTGATATTTTTCATAGTAGGTTTCGATAATATTTTAGTTGATTTCTATATATTGTAGTTGGTTTCGATGATTTCGTAGTTGGTCTCGATGATTTTGTGTTGGTTTTGATGATTTTGTAGTTGTTTTCGAGAAATTGTAGGGGATTACTATAAATTGTAACTTGTAGTTGGTTGTTAAAATTTGTTGTTGGATTGAGGTGTTTTCATAGGCTTTGCCGAAGTTTTTGCTTGTAACGCCCGCAACTGAACGTTGACTGTAATTATACTTTCATTGATGATGATTGAATTGTCGCTGATAGTAATTATATTGCCGTTGACAGGACAATTACTGTAAACACAATAATATTACTGTCAACCACATCAATATTATTGTTCTTTTGGCTTTTGTATCTTGTTTGATTTGTTGACCAGTCAACGTAATAATATTACTGTCGTTGCCGGTAAAATTGTTGTAAATACAATAATATTACTGTCAACCACATCAATATTAATTTTTTTGGCCTTTTATTTTGTTTGATTGTAATATTACTGTAAACAGTATTCTAAAAATCGGCCGAGGCGGCCGATTAATCGGTCTCCGAGGCGGAGGTGGTCCAAAACCTTTACGATTTTAGTGTAAAGGTTTGAAAAATCGGTTTTTTGTCTGTGAGGCGGTTTTAGGCGGTCTGAGGCGGTCTGAGGCGGTCTGAGGCGGTCAAACCTTTAAGGCGGATCAAACTCGGTTGCAAAAATCGGCCAAAAATCGGTAAAAAATCGGTTTTTTTTTTTTTTTTTTTTTTGTTTTTTATAATTCAAAATAAAAGTTGGGATTTTAATAAAAGAAAATATGAGTTTATGCCTTATTTTGTTTATGCTAATTATTGTTGTTAAAGAACTAATGATGTATGCCAGAAATGTTCAAGAATAAATGTAAATTCAAAAAAATTGCTTTTTTATTTATATTTTATAAGGATATTGTATTATGATCTTATAATTATTAAACTTTTATTATGTTATTAAGAATATGTACATGATGGAGATATAACTATGTGTAAATATCTTTTTATATATGTTTCGAGTATTTATAAATAATATCTAGAGATATATTATATTAAATTTTATTTCCGATTTATCACCGATTAATCACCGCCGCACCGATTAATCGTGAATCGGTGCCTGACCGACTCGGATCCGATTACCGCTTTTTACAAACACAATAGTATTACTTTTAGTTGACAATAATATTACTTTCGTTACAGTAATATTATTGTGGTTGACAGTAATATTACTGTCAACCACATGAATATTAATTCTTTTGACTTTGTATTATGTTTGCATTTGTTGAACGGTCAACATATTAATATTACTCTATTACACAATTATAGTGATTTTTGTTGTGTTAATATTATTGTGTTGAACTGTAATACAGTTAATATTATTGTGTTAAATAGTAATATAGTTAATATGGCTGTCAACCACAGCAGTATCACTGTTTAAACAGACCAAAAAATGAAAAGAAAAAAAAAGTCAAGGCCACGCTTGTCAGACGCGGCAGAAAGGAAAAAAAATCAAAAAACTCAACGCTGAAAACCAGCGGAAAAAGCAGACAGGTAAAAAAAAATAAAAAACAACCCCGCTCAACGGCGACGACTGACGAAATTGTAGTCAAAATTGGGTTAGGAGAAAAAATTGAATAATAGATGAAATTTGAGGTTAAATTGAATTAAATGATAAAATTGGAGCATATTAAAATGTGAGGGGGTATTTTAGTCTTTTACGCACCTTTGGACATTGTCTAGATTTTTTTTGTAAAATATTTTTTTGTCTTGGCCCCTTTATGGATAAGTAGCTCATGATGGGTTTATTTTTTAGGGTTTGTCTAGGGTGAGATACCCCATGTTCTAAACTTTTATGAGATATGCATTAATCACCATTAATTTTCTAAGATTAAATCTGGACCCTAGGAAAATAACATGGCTTATGTTCTAAAAAATGAAGTATTTTACCAAATTATCCTTCGATTATTTTTTTTATTAAATTAATATAAAATTGATTAACATTGAATTGTCTAATTTACCCCCTACTATATTTTAATTAAATAATTAATTTAAATTCATTGTGACCGAGATTTATTTGATAAATAATCGAAAAAAATGCATTCATTAGGAATAGAACTTGTGACCTCTTAATACATTTATCACTCCTAACCATCCAAGCACATTAACTTATTATGATATATTTAACAATAATTGTATACATACTGTGAATTCAAATATTAATTGCAACATTCATTATTATTAAATTAATAATGATATTAAATAAATTATTAACAAATTTAATAAAATAAAGTTTTAAAAATATAAAGAATTGCAGTTCAATACGCCAAACATCTATCATTAATTATATAATATTAGAAGTATTAATAAACTCCACCATTTAATGTAAAGAATGCTCAATTAAATATAAAAAAATGCATAACTTAATTCAAACTCACTTATGTTATTTAATCGATAGTGTGACAAATCCAAATAAAAAATAAAATAATATGTTTGTTTAGAAGAAGAAAAAATTATAACTCATTCCAATTAGTAGTTTTCTTACTTTAAAATAAAATTATATACTACAAATACTATATTGTGAATTTCTTTTAATATTTAATTTAATCAACTAGTA